CAGACTCTCACACTCAATCACTTACAGCTGACGTCAGTTAAGTCAGTGAGGGTTCAGGGCTTGAGTCTTTAGGGGCCAGATTGGAATTGGGCCTATGTATATATGTCTATGACGCACCCTATGTCGTGAACTGTCACACACGTCTCAAACAAACGTGCTAAGTATCTCTCGACTGTCAATTGACAGACATAAAGATGAATCAATAGTATTTCGCCTGGTTAACTTTGGCCGTCATTTTAGTTTTTGATTGGATGACTGACTTCCGGTTGTTATCTGATGCCGCGTTCAAGTCACATCGCAGTTATCGAGCTTCAGACTTGTAAAATGCGTTCATGTCAACATCCAAGTCGTAATTTCGACGATTAACAAAACTCAGATTTTTCTGAAATCACCAATATATTTGACATAATCATATGGAGGTGCCTGAAAACTGAAAAAGCCTCATATCAGCCCGCGTCCGTCGTTCAGTGTATGTTAATTTAACTTTAATTGAATGGATATATTATTTTGTCAATGTAAAGAATCCTCACACTAATAACTTTATTTGCTCACTTGACCAACTCTAATCATGCACTCGTGTTGGTGGTGAGAGCGGTCACAAGGCATTATCGTCGAAGTTTTTCCCATCTCAACCCTACTGTCCTATGTGTCTTGAACGCTGCATAAACGACAGAGTCCCTCGGTCGCCTGTGCCCTGACTCTGTGTAGTTCACAGTGGAAGAGCAGGGGACACATTTTATGTTAGCTACTTTTCTGTAGCTGATATGAAGCTGGAACCCTCTGAGCTGTAAATGCGGATGTAGTTTCCCCTTCTTATGGCTTCTGCAGCTGCATGCTCACAGACAGAGTCGGGATGTTTTCTACCAACATGGAAACAAAAAGAGTGGAGATTCCCTCCGGCGTGCTGGACGACCTTTGCAGGTATCTTGGCGCTTTACCGACCTTTTTTTTACGAACCATGGTCGTTTGTCTGGTCAGTACGCTTTTAAATACCATCAGAAAAAATGTGACGTTAAGGAATTTTGAGTCAGCGTTAAGCAAACACTCTTCGTCAAGTGTTTGTAGTTGTTAGCTTAGCTGATGTTGAACCGTGTTTGTTGCATGATGCTTCCATACTAGCCGCAAATGTATGAAATGTCTCCCCACAGACTCCACAGCAGACTGATGTAAAGGGCAAGCATCAGCCAGCAGTGTAATTTTAACCAGTCTTTATGGTTATACAGGGAACAAGCACGCTGTCCAGCTACATACAGCATAAAGTCAGCAGCACCTGAAGTACTAGCTAATACTCATTTATACAAACAACAAATAGTAAAGGGATTAAAGGGATAGTTCTGATTTTTGTTGTTGTTGTATGAAGTACTCATACATAGTCAATATATTGCCAACAGTAGATGTCAGTTGGCACACAGAAGCAGGCAGAGTCCAATATATATTTATGGATATATATGGATATGTATGCATATATATTAGGGCTGCACGATATTGGGAAAAATTGACATCGCAATTTATATAT